CTATTAAACTTAGTACGAATGACGTCCCGAAAATTTACTCAGTGGCTCCCACAAAATCCGTTATCCTTCAAGGGCTATTGAAGCCGAAAGAAGCGACGTAGTCAAGTCCTGATGAAATACCCGCAAAGTTGTTGAGGGAGTTGGCCTTCCTTGGCGCAGGAAGATTGCTACTTGAGTGGAAGACTGTATGGATTTCACCGAGGTATAAAAGTGGCAGTCGCGCTTCTGCAAACAACTACCGACCGGTAAGCCTCACCTTCCCGTGTTGCAAAATTGTGGAGCGAATTATCAAACGCGAACTGATACAGTTTTTATAACAACATAATCTTCTCTATGACACGCAGCAAGGATTCTGTAGAGGAAGGTCCTGATTGACTAATTTGCTCTACTGCCTAGACCGCTGGGCCCGAGCGATTGATAGAAGAAATGTGCACATAGTCTACATGAACTTTGAGGAGGCCTTTGATAGTGCGCCACACCAACGTCTTCTCTAAGAGCTCAGTCGTATAGGGGTAAGAGTTTAGTCTCTGAAGTAGATTGAGGTCTTCTTGATTGGCCGATCTCAGATCGCTCATCTTGGTGACCAGCAATCGGTGGACCGTTGACAGAGGAGTTCTTCAGGGCTCCGTTCTTGGCCCCATTCTCTTCCTCGTATATATTAATGACTGCATCCGTGGGCTGGACTGTAATATCGTCATGTTTGATGAGGAAATGAAACCTTGGAACGTCATCCGCAACGAAGGCGATAAAGCAACTCTACAGGCGAGCTTGAAGCGACTCGAGCAATGGCCATACCACTGGCTCCTACTGTTCAGTGTAACCAGATTCAATATTATAAGAATCGGCAGAACCAGCTTTGCGCACCGGAGGACGTAATATATAAATCTCCTATCGCTACCAGAGATAGAGGTTCCGAAGGACCTATGTTTCTGAATCACAACCTCACTGACACCACCAGTCTAGTGCTTGAAAGTCGCTAAAGCGACAATGTCAAGCTTATATCTTATCATGTGAACATTTGCAAAGTTCGACATAGTACGCTTTGGTAAAGTTTTCGGCACCGTATTGGAAATTTGCCATTCGGCAACCAAGCTTGTCAGAGACCAAAGCAACCTGCCATACGAAACTCGACTGTCCAATCATGATCAATATCCCCTGGACTGCAGCCGGCCATGTGGCAAATATATTCAAGCGTTTCGCATACTGCGGAGCCAGGAATATTGCCTCGCATTCGGCAACCTCCTTCAGTCGGCCACCACTACTAGCTTGAGAGAAAATCCTTTAATAACACGTGTGACTGGGGCTAGACTAGACGCAAGCAAGTTCTTCTTCAGGCACACAGTGATTAAGGGATGGAATGCTCTGCCTGTGGACTTCGTCATGCCCTCGCCCGTGGACACATGTAATAAAAAGCTAGACAGGTACAGTGATCTGTACCACCACAACATCAGAAACTAACAACTTTCTCCCCTTGCATCACTCATCCCGAAAGTTCTACGTAACCATGTATGACTCTTCCTATGTTTCAGCAAAATTAATTTATAATTGTTTCGTTATATACCTTCGTCGGATGGATTGTGTGACTCAATGAGTTTTGTGTTAGGGGGCGCTCACCGATCGTTCATACGGAACTCACTCGTTCCGTTGTGCCTTAAGGGCTCTCTCTCGAGCCCAACCAGCAGCCGCACAGCGGCGCATGATATATAGGCAGAATGAGTTCTATATAATCAAGAGGTCGCGATAATTTCACAATTTAGACATCTTATGCATACAATGACACATGCATCCAAGGATTACATGATTGTTGCATGTACTTCTTGGCCACTCTTCCTTCGAACTTTTTGAAGGTATGGGGGTTGGGTGTACGGGTGCCCAGTTGTGCGTCCACTTGAAGGTCGTAGTAGGTCGCTTACTTGCTTGCAGGGACTTGCTTCGCCTGGCGTCCAAAAATGGTACCCAACACTCACATGCGGCCGCCCGAAGCTAGCTTCTGTTTAGTGGCCGCACCCCGGCGGCCGCCTCCATCGGTGGGGTAAACGAGGTGAGGGTATCCATGAGTGTACCTTCACATGCAGTAATTATGCCCTCCTGCCATCTCCGCTAGTCGTACGGATCACCGCATCGTCATTTTCACTATGGGGCTCCGTCCGCAATGCCGCAGGTGGACACAAGGTAAGTGATCCCCCGGGTAAGCTGAATATCGCTTGGTTGTCTTTGCCTGCGCACACTTGCATTTCAGCGCCCAGCAAACTACTGACCCAGTGTCTTGAAGACCTGCTCCATTTCATTCCTGCACGCCCTTCCTCCGTCCTCCACTCGCCTATTCTCTACTCTACTCTACTGTCTTACCCCACGGTTGGAAGTCCTACGACGAGAGCGACAGCAGTCACGTAGGCAGTTCAGGCCATTGGTCGCTCTCTCACTGAAGCCTGTAACCCATATTGAAGAGCGGTATCTGTCTGGTGCGGCAAAGCAGACCCCTTCATGGAGAGCAATATTTTCTCCCGATAGAGGGAAAGGACTAGAAAAGGTGCCCTAAACAAATCTGAGTTCACAACATCTCCGCACAGACCGTGGTTCGCACACTGCTTAATATGCGGTCGAAACCAAAAAAACGAGAAAGTGCAGCGTATCCTGCCCGTGCCGTCAGGACATCATGCCACAAACGCGTGACAAGCGAACGATCAAGGTCATGACCCTGTGCACACCTTCTTTGTGCTTATTGGCCACCCATCAGCTTATGACAGTCCCCCTTGCCATATAACCGCTCGTTTCCACAAGCCTCTTCAATTATGCTGTCTATCGTACTCAGTACACGTCCTATTTCCAAATAACCTTCTGTTCTGAATGCATAACAGTAACTGACTGACCTTTTGCTTTCATGATCACCCAGGCGGCTCGCAAGGTTGGAGGATTCAGGGATAGGTCAGTCGCAAAGAATCAAAATTCTTCACTGTGATCAAGGCGATCTACAGGCCGCCAACGAAGGAAACTGGGCCGTTTTTCAATTCCAATGGATTAACGCTTTTGACAAGGAAGTTGCTGATTTTGGGGATTTTGCCGAGCGCTTCAGAAGCGTCTTCAGCCGTCCCTCTTCTATCTTTGACGCCGCCATCAACCGGTCCACCATGTGGAAACTAAAACCGATCTGGATCCCCCGCCCCCTCTTGCAGAAGTCGTCCGCGCTGCGCAACAACTCTCCATTGGGAAAGTGCCCGACATTGATACTATCCCAGCTGAAACCTACGAGTACGCAGCCACCGACTGACGGCGCTACTTCAGGAGATGTGGCGCAGTTGTCAAGGTCCTCGGGATTTAAAGGACGCAACCATTGTCCACCTCTACAAGCTCAAAGGGAACCGACAACCCTGTGACAATCACAGGGGTATCTCGCTGATCAAAATCACCGGGAAGATCTTAGCCCCCATCCTCCTCAATCGCCTCAAAGGCCGCCTGGAGCAAGGAGTTCTGCCGGAGAGCCAATGCGGATTCTGACGACACCACGCAACCACTGATATGGTCTTTGCCGCCCGCGAGCTACAGGAGAAGTGCAAGGAGATGCGGGCTTGTAGTGGCGGTACAACAGGTGTCTATGGCAACGCCGCACCTCTTGCTAGTGTCTGTACTTGCTCCCCAACGAAATCCTGCTTTGACACGCACGCCTGGCTGTCTTTGATTTATCCGCACCACGTTTCTGGTTTATTCTCTGTCTGCGCTATGAGAGGCTTGTCACTACCCCCGCGCGGGTATGAAGCCAATCAACACAGCCCTTTCGCTGGTTGGTTAAACAGGCGAATACAAGAGAGCACTGATGCAAACAATAGGCTTCGGCATTTTCGGCAGCAGCTTACGGCGACACGAGGTGTTGTGCTGGCGGACGCCCGTTTCTTGACATCGGACGCACTCTCGTCCGACCACCAACTTTCCTCCATTATTCTGTACAGAATAAATCCTCTTCGCCATTGGCGTCCAGTTCTTCTATTCTTATACGTAGTGGCTAGGGTTACACGTTATGGCTTTAGGTGCTGCGATAGACTCACCTCTACACCACCTTCGTAAATCTGACGAGAGACTGTACAGATGCATTCAGAAGCCCGGATGTCCCGGAGCGATTGACGCATATGGTACGTCAGCTCTACGATGGGATGATGCACACGTCATGGACAGCAGCACAATCTTCGAGGTCTCCGCGATGATCAACGAAGTGAAACAGAGATGCGTACTTGCGACCACCCTCTTCAGCCCCATGTTCTCTGCCACGCTGGTGGACGCCTACCGTGATGAGCGCCCCGGGATCCACGTTGACTACAGGACAGACGGGTATTTTCTCAGCAGCCGGCGAATGCGGGCCCCGACGCGTTTTTACAGAACTACTATTCACGATCTACCCCTCTCTGATGATTGCGTAATCAGAAGCACGACCGAGGAAGACATGTCGACGGTGGTGTGGTGGACAAGACAAATATTTCCAATTCCGATGTCAGGGAAGACGGTTTGAGTTGGACAACCCTTACTGTTGTGGAAGTGCGTACACCAAGCTCCGCAGGCAGTCGCCGCGAGTGCTCTCTCCAGGCAAATTGTTTTGTCTGTGTCCGCCCTCGAGGTGCTGAGACCCAGCGCGTGTGTGCGCCCTTCGTTGTCTAAGCGTCCTCCAGCCAATCAGAGGAGGGACAGCGCTGACTGGCCTCTAGAACTCTCGAGGTTAGTGACAAGACTCGTGCTTCCCAGCAGCCTATCGACAAAGCGTGTGAGGCGGACAGGAAGGCAGCGTGACAAAGGCGAGGGCCAAGGGGACGCGAACTGTCACAGTACTCCCACTAGACCGAAGGCGGCGCGTAACGAGGCCGAAGGAATTGTTCATTTATAAGAGATATGAGTAACCAAACGGTCAGGAAAATGAACATGGCGTCCACTACGGGCAATATATACAAGGGACACAGATGAAGAGTGAGTATGGCCTGCGGTTACGGTGTTGAAGGTTGATAGCGGGGTAGTTGCAGCTAGGGGTCGCGGACATGGGAGCAAAGGAAGTGTACGGGACGGAGGGATAGAGGGTCAAAAAGTGTAGCAGGGGGTAGGAGACCACAGGGCTCATCCGGAGGAGTGTCCGGGACGGTAGCTTTAAGACAGTTCACACCCACGATCTCCTCGCGAGTTCCGCGTTGGATGCGGATGTTCTTCATCCCACGAGAAATAACTCGGAAAGGGCCGTCGTAGGGTGGTTCCAGTGGCCGGCGGGCTCGATCGCATCGGAGATAGACGTGAGAACATGTCGTCAAGTCTTTCTCGGCGTATGACTCGGAGACAGGCGACCTGGGTGGAACCGGGGAAAGTGTCTTCATGAATTTCCGGAGACGGTGCAGGAGGATGGTAGGATCCGCGACTGCAACTCACGGGGTTGGCGAGATTATCTGGCCGAGAAATCGGACGGTAGCACCGAAAACTAGTTGAGCAGCGAAACAGTCAAGGTCCGACTTCAGGGAGGAGTGAATGCCCAATAGGACCAGGGGAAGGTGGTCCGTCCAGTTCTCCGGATCTTCTGCGGCACGTTGAGAGGTCTTCAGCTGGCGGTGGAACCACTCGACCATCCCGTTCACTGTCGAATGATAGGCTGTAGAATGGATCCGAGTACAGCTTAAGAAGGAGAGAAGAGACTGGAAGAGGATAGATTTGAGTTGGCCACCGCGATCAGTCGTGATAGTGGGGGGGGGGGGGG